GTGTCCATTCTCAAAAAAAACTAAAATCCCAATGGCATACTTGCAGGAGAGTGGAAAACTTTCACGAAGTCGTTGCAAACTTTGAATCATGTCCCTAGTTGCATTTAGCTATGCCCGGAATCAGAATACGGGAAGATACGACCTGTCAATTTGGAGTCAAATCCCAATGGCACACCGCCAAAAGCAATTCCAGGTCAAAAGCTTAGCCAAGCATTGAAACAGTATCACCAGCTTGCGTTCTGGTATGCCCAAAAGAAACAAAATAAAGGGCGTCCATTCTCATGAGAGCCAAAACCCCAATAGCACACTTACCAGCGGAGTAGATAACTTTCACAAACAAAATTTAAAAATAATAACATTGAAATCACACCCTGCCCTGCTGTAACGGAATCCGAGACATATGGAATATGGATGTAATACCAGAATCATGACTCTGGAAGGTTTTTGGACGAGGTACCGGACGAGATACCGGACGAGGTATCGGAATTACATTTTGCCATTCCAGCCAAGACCCACCCCACGTATCCCCACGTCAGATCAAAAACCGTAAATGGTAAAAATAATGCAAATAGGTCCGAAATATCCAAGCAATAAGGTCCGGAAGATGAGGTGGAGGAGGATAATGTTGCGGATGATAAGGTGGAGGATGATGTGGAGGATGATGAGGTAGAGGATAACGATGTTTTCAAGGAGGAAGATAATGATGTTAAGGATGATCATGTTGAGGAGGAGGATAAAAAAGATGATAATTTATATTACGGAAGAGGGAGTGGAGGAGGAGGATGTTGCAAAAAATAAAGTGGAGGATAACGATGTTAAGGATAATGATGTCAAGGGGGAGGACGAGGATGATGCTGAGAATGATGATGTGGAGGAGGAGGAGGAAGATGATGATACTGAGGAGGAGGAGGCGGAGGAGGCGGAGGAGGAGGAAAAGGAGGAGGAGGAGAACCGATCACAAGACCCCCGAGTGTGTACACACTGTGTGGCAACTCACGTTGCTCCAGGGATTGTTAGGGGGCAAATGGATATAATTTAATATAATTAATGTTTGCCATGTTAAGAATCCCTGCGTGACTATGCGTTGTGCTGTAAAGATCATACCAAATAACAAATCATGTAGTAATTCATTCCAGTGGTTGTCACTTCTTCCGCATGGCATACCGAGATGAG